AAAATCTTTTTAAATAACCATCGAGACATGTTCCCTCGCGTGATCCCACTAACACAGCTGAGTGATCAAAAATTTTTTGATCCCTAGACCTGTGAGATAACTGCTGAACACGCTAAGTTCCATGGCTTCCAAAACCGATCTGAACTGGACAAGCGCAATGCGAAAACTTCGCGTAATCCTGAAGGTTTACAATTGCCTGCTCTCTAAGGTACGCACTTAAGTCTCTAAGCACAAGGCAAAGCGGCGTGTGACAACGTCGGCAGCCAAAGCCTCATTTGATGTACTGCTAGTGCCATATTGGAAGCAAGTGATCCAATACGCGCTGGTAACAGGAAGTACAAAAACCAGCTCAACAGCCAAAAAGATCACACCAAGTCATAGGGCCCACCGTGATAGATGTGATCACCACGGCCCCACCGCAAAGCACCACGCGGCACCAGGTGCGACACTGACTGTTCCCAAAAATCAGTTATTTCTGTCGCATTTTAAAACAAACTTACAATTTTTCAAACATATGTTTGGCCTTGCTCACTAATAACTTTTAGTGAGGTTTCAAGAAAAATTCAAAACTAACACTTATTTGATAAAATTTCTCCAATTTGAAAAATTTGAATCAAGAGTAATTTTTTTATTCCGAGGGGAAATCTGAAAATTGCAAACTGACAGTTGGAAAAGTGTAATGAACGGAGGAAAACAGAAAAAAAAACTGACAAGTTTTTGGAAAATAAAACATCATAAAGAGGCCAAACTGTGTAATTTGTGAGTTGTTAGCGGATTCCGCAACAATGAAGCTCTTTTTAGTTTTTGTCCTTTTGTTTTGTTTGATCGTTTCTACAAAATTTTAGTATGTTTAAACACTTGCCTTCAGAGACATATACACACCACATTGAGCTCTTATCCAGTGCAGTTTGGCCTCGTAATATTCAACTTTCAAATTTTGAAGAAAATATATATAATATCCCGAAATTTTATGATATGTGCATTTTTTTGATAAAAATTAACCCAATTTGAGAAAACTGTATTAGTAAGTAAAATTTTTATATTTCGCTGGGAAATCTAATAACTAAATTCCACTTTCGAAGTTAGAAGCCGATCACAATTTTCGTCACCTTTACACTTTTGCTGTTCGATACGGGAGTTTACCTGAACATTAAGTAAACTTAAAAATAAGCCGAAAGTCAAAATTGAGCGTGAACAAATTTTAGACTTTTTCCTGAAAAAAAAATCACGAAGACCTATATAGGAGCACTCACCATGTTCCTGACTAAAAAATGAAAGAAATATTAGATTGAGTTATCTATTTATGAACTTGAGATTGAGTTAGTGTATATAGAGGTTTCCGCACACCTATTTCGAGTAATATTTTCTGTTTATGAATATCTGTTTAAAACAACTCAATCACAATTAAAATATTGTGACAGTTAAAATACTGTCACAATTGTGCTGTGCCGAGAACCCTTACTTTTTCAGTCTATTTTTCACAGTTGAGTTGAGAGTATCTCAGTGGTATACTCTGTTTTCTTTTGATCAAGTTAGTGGTTCCCAGATCCCATCTAACCGCATTCAAGTATTTCATCATTCGCACAGTTTTAAGGTCGAGGGAATTTTTCATATGAATCACTTTTTCTCCAAAACTAATAAATTTGATATCACTTGTTTCAAATAGCTCCTCATTCTGGCCGAGCCAGGACATTAATTGAAACATTTCGGCTCCATTTTCGTTTTCTAAATCATCGAGAGAAAATTCGGTCGACACTGCTAAAACCTGTAACTTCGGCTGCCATCTGATGACTCGTGTGATCAAATCCAAGCATAAGGAAAACGATCTTTCGGTCACTCCTTCAAAATTACCAACGACAGTGAGAGCTTTAAGATAATGAAACACCATTTTTTCAAGTAAGCAAAAATTTAGATCAAAATCCGTTACCTCAAGAGACAAATGGCTAAATTGATTGCTAATTAATTTTATTCTCGTTGACAGCATTCTATAATTGATCGCTAAAGTGGAACAGCAACTAGGTAGCTTGTCCAGACCAATTTCTTCTGGTTTTGTAGCTAATTTCAGGGAGAAAACAGCAATCGATTCCAAGTTTGGAAACACGCGTGAAATAAGCGCCCCAAGTTGTTCAGAAATGTCATTTTGGTTGTACAGATGAAGGTTTTTGAGATTTGGAAGATTGAAAGCCACGAATTCTGGTTTCCCAATATTTAGACTCTCGATGTGTAAATCACACAGATTTTGCAGATGTCTGACATCTGAAATGTTTAGAGGCCCCGAGTCGTGTGCTTCAACTACTTGGTTCAACTGATCTAAGGTCTTCAAATATCTGAACCAATCAGGAGCGTTCATTCGAAAATGAACACTTTTAACAGCTACACATTTTGATAATTTTTCGTAGAAATTGTCTGCGAACAAATCAATACGGCAATGAACAATATGGAACTCTATGCATTTATTGTACGATGCCAGATTGCGAGCCATTTCAACTAAAGGGTCCAAATCTGAGTCCATTTTTGCATTTAAACTTATAAGCAGAACCACACACTCTAAATTATCCCGCAGGTTAACATCCAGAGCTTCGAGTATGTTATAGATTCTGTTGAAAGAAATAGGAGTAAGAATAGCTTCATAGGAGTAAACATTGAGCTGTAATTTAATTATCTTCCATTGAGGATTATTTTTAAGGGCTATAATCGATTCCCCTGTCTTTTCAATTCCACTCGTTTCAGAACCCCAACTTTGGGTCGCAGCGAAGGCTTCCACTATTTGAAGCTTGCACCTCAACTGCAATCGTTTAATAATCGCGTATAAGTCCGAACAAGTCATCATTAAGGAGACAATATCAGATACATGATCTTGATCACCCACCAGGAAACTCTTGGTTAAATACTGGCAAATACACTGAAGTACGTGTTCCGGGAGGTAACAAAGCGCTAAATTACTCATCGCAACTCGAAAAAAACTCTCAAATATGACTTTTTAATTCAAAACTAAATTCAGAAAGTCAATAAATTTCATGATAGTAAGTTACTTGTAACTGCTAACCAAATTCGAGAAAACCGATATTAGGGGATTTTTTCTTCTACGGGTATTTATGAATATATCAATTTTCTAACTACAAAATGAACGTGAAAAGCTTCAAAACTTGATCCCAAAAAAAACCCCACGAAAGCAAAGGATTGAACCCTAAATCTGCAACGTGCTAAGCAAACATTCATACAGTCCACTCGACCACTTCCCATTTGAAACATAATGAATAACAGAATTTCACGTTCTCGAATAGAACATACCAATCAGCATTGATTAAAAAGCACAATTTAATGATAGCCAAACGCAAATTTAGGCAGCTTTAAGCGCCCGCTGTGGTGAATGTAACTTAACTAATTCATAAAACATCGATTACCATTGGCCTTAAATGACTACAACTGCCTTTCGAAAATGAAATAAATCCAACAGACGCAAGTAAACAAAAAATACGGACTTCGTTTTTGCTTTTCAAAGGAAAAAATTCTATTTTCAAAACTAGAAGTCGATCACGTTTTTCGTGAACTTTACACTTTCGCTGTTCGATAGTGGAGTTTGCCTTCCCTTTAACAATATAAATGCACTGAACTTAAAAAAATCACAAGTCAAACCGCGGAAAAAAATCAAAATTGAGCTTGAACAAATATTAAGACTTTTTCCTGAAAAAAAAAATCAGCAAGAATTATATAAGAGCACTCATTACGTTCATTAATCTTAAAAACAAGCGGCAAAAAGAGCTTCGAAATTCACAAAATATTAACTTTGCATATACTAATTTGGAATGTAATAAGCTTAAAGCAAACCCACAAATTTTGCATGTGGTGAATGTAACTTAACTAATTCATAAAACATCGATTACCATTGGCCTTAAATGACTACAACTGTCTTTCGAAAATGAAATATAGCCAACAGACGCAAGTAAACAAAAAATACGGACTTCGTTTTTGCTTTTCAAAGAAAAAAATTCTATTTTCAAAACTAGAAGTCGATCACGTTTTTCGTGAACTTTACACTTTCGCTGTTCGATAGTGGAGTTTGCCTTCCCTTTAACAGTATAAATGCACTGAACTTAAAAAAATCACAAGTCAAACCGCGGAAAAAAATCAAAATTGAGCTTGAACAAATATTAAGACTTTTTCCTGAAAAAAAAAATCAGCAAGAACTATATAAGAGCACTCACTACGTTCATTAATCTTAAAAACAAGCGGCAAAAAGAGCTTCGAAATTCACAAAATATTAACTTTGCATATACTAATTTGGAATGTAATAAGCTTAAAGCAAACCCACAAATTTTGCATGTGATAAATTAGAAAATTATCAGGCCAAATTTTGCATAAAAATATCAAGCCTTTCAAAATATACTGAGTTAAAAAATTTCTGAAATCGAATTTTCATTAATAAACTGTTATATGAAACATATTTTTTTTCGGTTCATTTGATGAATTAGAAAAGCATTAACTGTGTTGACTTATTACTACTAAAATCAAAGCAGATCGTATTTTACAGCCAATGCTGCCTCCAGCTTCAACAAAGCCCCAAAAGTCGAATTTTTATTTGCGACTTAGATTGGAAAAAAAGTTGCATTGCAATCAAACTATGCTGCGCATGTGTAAACATTCAACCAAACTTCAAAATTCAATTCTTAGTTGACTAGAAAGCGCGACATAAATAATTATCTTTGTCTCCCAATTTTTGTATAAAAAAGGTTTCTATTAAGCAAACTTTTCAACCGGTTATTCTTGTCACTGAAAAACATTTCTGAAAATTTCAATGTCGATGGAATCAAGAATGAAAGGGCTGTAATAGTATATATAGTTCAACTCATTCTGATGACTATTTGTAGAATCTGACTTTGCGCGGAACAAAATATAAAACAAAAAAAAACTGAACGAAAGTGCTCGAACAATTATATCTAGCTCAACCTTTCAGCATATAGCCACAATCGTTTAAGTACAAATCTTGACGATGAAAACTATCAGGTGATATATATATATTTGAATTATTATATATCATATATAACAAATCTGTAATAGTGAAAAAACAAAAACCATACGATTTTTAGAAAAGTTTGAGATAGCTCTGAAATTTCAGTTCTAGGATGATGCTCCTGACTTGATGCAAGTCCCTTTGAACTCACATTTCAGCCAAGAGATGCAGGTTACATTTCAGCCATGAGTCGAAATGAAACAATCAAATCTTCTTTCGTTTTGAATTTTTCCCTCGGCCTAAGACGAAACCTTGTCGATAGTGAAACACGAATAGCAGTTTGCTATTAAAAAATGCTTTTTTGCTGAATTCATAGAGAATTGCTCTAAAAATATCACTAAGTAAAAAAAACAAAAAAAAACACTATCTTTGAACAGATCGGCGGTTCAGAGACTTTTCAATTAAAAAGTGTGCCTTTAATGAATTTAAAAAATGGCTTGCATTTCCTAGGCTTTTCTCTTCCAAGCATAAAGTCAGTCTACTTACGTCCTGAAATGCCGACTTTATTTGCTCAAACTTGTCGACGCTGTAGACTGCTCGCGCCGTGTTAGATTGGTCAAAGGGTTCTAAAAAAACAAATGGTATTGAATAACACGTCCGAGCTGCATATTATTAACACAGAAGCAAAGATGCACTTCGCCTAGAAAGACGGGATTTGAACCATGTCCTTCGGTCTTGCTTTGCAGACTTTCAATTTTTAATGACGCATACCCTACAACACTGACTTGCAGAGCGAGCAACTTTTAAGACTTTTACCCGAAAAAAAGACACTCAAGAGAGATGATAAATCTACAGATATTAAGGTTTAGATGTCAATGCAGATGTCAATAAGTTAAATAGCAAAATCGCTTATCACAGAAAAGAAGGATCTTCAGGCTCTTCTAGAAGCTCGAGAAAGTTGCTCAAGGTGATCAATAGTGTCAATAATTATGCAATAACTCTACAAATAAGAACATCATATCGAATTAATAAAGTGTACGGTACCTTCGATGCAGATGTACTTCTCAGTCCATTGGGGTTCGCTTTTGGTCGATCTCTTGATTTTACGTCCTAGGCGGATACTCGCGATGTCATATTCGAAGCTAAACAAACCAGTGGGATTACATAATATCTCCTGCCAGGATATCCGTAATTAGCGACAATTCGTAACAGGCGACAATTCGTAACAAGCGACAATTCGTAACAGTAGATTTAATCGGGGAACACTGATTCACGCGCAATATTCCTATCATGCCGGATGCAAGCACACGGGGGAAACGGAGCAAGCGTATTCTATTTGCCAATGCCTTGTCACGAATTGTCGCCAGTTACGAATTGTCGCCTGTTACGAATTGTCGCTGTTACGAATTGTCGCTTGTTACGAATTGTCGCCCTACCTAGGATATCAATACTTCGAACAAACTCAATTCGAATATTGCTTTTTAATCCTCAATTACTTTGAACATAAAGCACAATTTGAAATCGAATATGCCAATCCAACTCGCTTACGTCGCAATTTTCAAATCAGTTCATAAAAAAATTATTCTGCAACATTGCCATCAAATTTCGAGAAATTTTTTTAAAAATTTTGACCGCAAGACGAATTCGCCGGTCACAGATCGCGACGACGGGTCAAAAAAGTACCAGAACAAAAATTCTTTCACGCCGGGTCAATTATAAAAGATCAACATAACTAATATATAAACGGAAGAGTCAATGAACGCAAAGAAATAGAAAACTGAACAAAAAACTCAAATATATATATATATATATATATATATATATATATATATATATATATGGCCTTAAAGCTCTTTGAATTTCAAAAACAATTGATGATTGACACTTTCAATAAAATTCACTAAGTTTGAGAAAGCTGGACCAAATAAAGGGTAAAGTTTTTATTCCGCTGGGAAATCCGAAAATTAAAATCCACTTTCAAATTAGAAGTCGATCACGTTTTTCGTGAAATCAAAAGTCAAATCGCGAGAAACCAAACTTATTTGAGCTTAAGTGATAATACTTTTATTTACATTTGAAAGATCCTCTAGCAGTGAAGATCCTCTAGAAGAAATGAAGATCCAGTTGAAAAAGGTTTCTATGGGGAAAAAGTCTGGTACCGACTGTAATACTCTTGCTTACCGCAAGGGTAAAACCCGTTATCAAGAAGGAAACAATTTGCTTATAATTTACAAAATTAATTTTCGAACCCTATCTCAGAACAACCCCAAAAAGGTCAGAAAGCTGCTACTAAATTTAAGTTTTTTTTTCAAAAATAGCGAGGTCTTTAATACTTGAACTTTTTGTTGTAGAATGAGAAGAAGTTGCAGAATAGCTGAGCGACTGAGAGTTTGTTGGCCTGTGCGGGAGAGGAGTACTTGGCGGCTATGAAGTCCAGACGGGGCAGCTGCTCAACCTCACGCTCAGTGGAGAACACATTCTGAAACCACAGACTATAATGAAAAGCGGCACAGTAGAAGTGATGCTTGCCTGGCAATAGTATGATTGCCAGGCCGGAAACATTAACACAGAGGCGAAGTTGCACTTCGCGTACACAAGCAAAAATATGACTGATAACGCTACTGGAAAAACCTGAATGAGTAAAATTTTGAGTCTACAAAATTTCTTAAGTGACGCACGCCAATTTTTAGACTATATAATTGCTAAGTGACGCAAGCCAATTATGACGCATTAGCAGTACCAGTCAATTTGAAAAAAAAGAAACTTACCAACTAACAAGCCTCAATTTATAGTGCGGATGCATTTTAACATGTATACGAAAAAGTTCATGTAAAACATCCGACCCTGCCCAGTTTCAAACCCTCTTATTTTGTGGCGGGTCTCCTTCCCTACCTCTACGCTACATATCTATGATACCTTAAAGCTAAAGTGATATTTGTATAATAGTCTGTGTTAAAATCCTTAGCATTGGTTGTACTTAATTAATAGCTGGTTATTGATTAAAATAAACGCTTTCAAAATGAACACATTTTGTCGCAACAAAATTTGCGTCGCAACAAAACGTTCGACTTAGGCTGAAAAAAAGAGAATTCATACTATATTACAAGCTTCGCTTTATTGTGTAAATATTTTATAGGATTTTAGCATTTAAAAACACATAAATAAAACAATAACTTTTTGGCTTTTTCAATGACCACTGAGCTCCTCAATTTTCAGTATGTTGGCTTCAGAGTCCAAAAAACATCTACTACGGCCGTCGCTTACATATATAGTGTCCTTAATAACACAGAGGCAAAGCTTTGCTTCGGAAACACAAACGAGAACACGACAAAAAGCAGCTTTATTAAGTGCAATGAGAAAAATTGGAAAAAAGCCTCGAGTTATTCAAAAAAATCGGCTAGAGATTTAGAGTCTCAAACAGTAACCACTCAGGAACGGAAGCTTAATAGACCCCAAACACTAGGAACAAATAAGTCAGAAAACAGATGCTATGCAATTTCCAATGCTACGGTGAAATTTCCTAATGAGAGAACACTTCTAATGATCACTTTTGTTTGCGCGTTAGGTTTGCGTGATCGCTAGTGCAAATAGCACCAAGTTAAATTTAGGGACTTTCGAGAATCCTTGTTGATTGATATCATTTTCAAAAAAAACTCGCCCCACATGAGAAAACTGGATCAAAGTAATTTTTCTAGATCACTTCCGTTTTTTTTAAATTAGATATACTTTTTTCCCTACGCATAGCCAGCAGACAGTTGAAGTGTTAATGATTGGCCGTTTCTTCGCAAACTTTTTTTAAAAAAACTTTCCCTCGAGTTTTGAAGAAAAATGTTTCGCTTAGAACTTTTTGCAATTTAATTCCTTTATTATTGACACTACATTGATAAAACTAACATAATTTGAAAAAAAAAAAACTGGATCAATAGTCGTCTTATTTAATTCGTAGGGTAATCTTAAAATTAAAATCCACTACCAAAAATGACCGCGTTAAATGTTTAAGAATTTTTTAACATCTTTATTCTTGAAGAAAAAATACGATCTGACTATGAGTTTTACAATTCGTTGGCGATTAACCAAACCTAATTGACTCCATTTAAGCCATCAATTTCATAGGAAATGCTTTCAGCACTAAACAACTAATAGGGCTAAATCGCAAAGACAAATTAACTTCAGCAGCTTTCACGTTTATTTTAGCCCTGAGCCTAATGAGATTTCAATTAAAGTATATACTTTTTCCTTTAAAACCTTCTTTTTCTGCTATTTGTTTGTGATTCGAAAAAGGTTTGTTGATGGATTGAGGTTAGCAATTGTTACAAAAAACTCAACCACAATTTCGTGTTTATAAAACACTTTCAAAGGTGAGTTTGAGTTCAGTGACACTTCTAATTTTCATCCACTCTTGTGAAATAATTTTAGTTTCAAAATTTGCATATTTCCACGTTTGTTGTTGGAGAACATAGCATATTTTTTAAAATGTTTCACTTAAAGCTCTTTATAATTTAAAAATCTTCTGTGATTGACACTACATTGATAAAACTAACACAATTTGGCTAAACTGGATCAATAGTCATCTTATTAATTCCGCAGGGAAATGTAAAAATTAAAAACCACCTTTGAAAAATTTAGTCATTTTTTGCTCGATTTTGCTGATTTGATTTTGTAGAGTTTGAGATTACTATGCTCTCCTTTTAGCAAATGAATTCGAACTGAACGTGGAATACCATAAATCAATTTGAAACAAAAGTGAGCGCGAAGAATTTCTAATATACTTTCTTGAAGAAAAAAAAACACGACTTTCGCAGCTTTAGCATTAGCTTCAGTAGCTTTCGTGTTTATTCGCGCCCATGAGCCTAATGACTTTCGCAGCTTTAGCATTAGCTTCAGCAGCTTTCGTGTTTATTCGCGCCCATGAGCCTAATGAAGTTCTATCTTAATAATATACATTTTCCTTTTAAACCTTCTTTTTCTACTATTTGTTTTTGATTTGAAAATATTTAGTTGAGAGAGTGTCAGCATTTTAAACAAAAACAACTGAACCATAATTATGTGTTTATAAATAACTTATTTTCAATATGTGAGTTTGATCTCAGTGACACTTCTAAATTTCATTCATTCTTGAAAAACACATTAATTTTAAATTTAGCATGATTCCCACAATTGATGTTGGAGAGTATTTTGAGCTCTACTCAAAAATGAATAGGAAAACTGAGACGAAATCAATAATATAGACATATCCAACAGATGGTTGGTGTAAAAGCTCCTGGAAGTGTAAAAGAACAAGAAACCAAAAAACCTTTCGCAAAAAATTATATCACGCTGGAGCTCTTTGAATTTCAAGAATTACACGAGGCTGCAGCTTCGCAAACACGAGCTAGAAAGCTGCAAAAAATCAGTGGCTTTAAAATGCTCATAACTCTGCATGTAATAACTTGGAATGTAATATACTAAAGGCAACCATTCTAACGTTGCATGTAATAAATTAGAATTTATTAAACCAAATTTCGAATAAATTATGGATTTCAGAATTTTCGCGGAGTAAATCAAGTTGGAATTTTTCTGAAAACTATTATACTTTTGGATGAAACAAATAACTTTTTCGGTACAATTGATGAATTGAAAAAAAACATCAACTGTGTTAGCCTATTACCAATCAAAAGTCTGGGCAAAATACTGCTAATACGTCCAACTGTTTGAAGTTGGACTGTTTGCTAATACGTCCAACTGTTTGCTAATACGTCCAAAACTAGCACTTTATTTGCGACTTAGGATAGAAAACAAAATTGCAACGTACTATCAAATTACACTACGCCTGTATAATAATTATTGCTATAATTCTGTTAACCCATTTAGAGAAAACTAGATTAATATGTAATTCATAAAATTAGAATTCAATCGTGAATTCACGTTTTTCGCTGCCTTTTTTTTACTGTTCTCACTTAGTTACTTAGTTTTTTTTAACACTTAATGAAAAGAGTAAAAACGAACTCTGCGAGTATCAGCACAAATCATCATATCACATAGATAAGTGGAAACCCACTTCGGTTATTAAAAAGCATATATTCAAACAATTAACGACTACTTCTAGGATGTTTCAACAAGAAATTCCAAACAGACAACTGAAACAGCGCTAACAAATTCAAGACAACCAAACAGGGAAACATGAACACTTCATTTTTGATAGATCAATTACATCACGGTAAAACTCTTTCAAAGTTAGAAAAATTTCATGTAATCAAATTTTGACCAAAAAAAACAGAACAACGGACCATTAGTAATTTTTATGCTGTCAGAAAACTAAGAAAGCAATGTTGAATAATCGCCACACTTTTTTTTGCTCCATTTCCTTTTTTGTTAACACAGAGCTTAACTTTAGTTCTACTATGAACATGAGTTGAGGTCCCCAGAGAAAAGAAAAAGCAACAAGATCAAATTCTCAGATTTTTTTCTGTCACACGAAAGCACATATGAACAGAACATTGCTCACAAACGAAAACATCTGAAACTCTCATAGGCTATAAGCATGGCTAAGGCCAAATGCTCCATTTAAAAAAAGAAAATTCAATTAATGCACTTTTAAAAATGCTTTTATAGCATGTTGTGTATATCTCCAAGAAGCTTTTATAGCATGTTGTTTAAATCCATTAGAAACTTAAATCTCGCAGAAAAACGATTGGTTTGAGATAAAACTTTTGAATAAAAAATTGTTTAAAGATCTTTAAAACAATGCAATTGAAAAAAAATGTGGCAGAACAATAATTAAGTTAATTTCATTTCGCTGGAAACCTGAAAAAATTCCACTTCCAAAAAAGTCGCTCACTTTTTTTTCGCGTCATTTCCTTTTTCATAATTGAGAGCGTAATTTCCCTTTCTTTCCTTTGACACAGAGGCGAAGTTGCACTTCGCATACACAAGCAAAGATATGACTGACAACGCTACTGGAAAAAACTGAATGAGTAAAACTTTGATTCTACAAAATTTACTAAGTGATGCACGTCAATAATGAGTCTACACAATTGCTAAGTAACGCAAGCCAATTATGACGCATTAGCAGTACCAGCCAATTTGAAAAAAAAAAGAAATTTACCAACTACATGCCTCAATTTATAAAGCTGACGCATTTTAACTAGTATACGAAAAAGCTCATTAAAAAATCCGACACTGGCCAGTTTTGAACCCTGTTTTTTTTTGCTGCTGGTCTTCTTCCCTACCTCTACACTACAGAAACAGAACCATGATACCTTGAAGCTAAAGTGCTATTTGTAATATAATAGTCTGTGCTAATATCCATAGCATTAGCTCTACTTGATAGCTGGATCAAAATGAACACATTCAAAATGAACACATTCAAAATGAACACATTCAAAATGAACACATTTTGTCGCAACAATTGCATCGCAACAATATTTGCGACTTAGGTTGGAAAAAAAGAAAGTTTATACTATAACACAAGCTATGCTTGTGTAAATAAATTAAATTGAGCGTGAACATTTTTATAGAATTTTTCCAGGACAAACCACACAACCTATAAAGTGTCATCACTTAGTCTATTGACACTTAATAAGCATAATCAAAAGACAGTTGAAAAAGAACAAGAAAGCAGAAAATATATCACATTGAAGATCTTTGAATTTCAAATACTATTCAAGATGGGCACTTTTTTCGTAAAGATATCCCATTCAGAGAAAACTGGATCAAAGTGTATTTTTTCATTCCACTGAGAATTCAAAAAATAAACTGTGCTTTTGAAACTAGAAGTCATTCACATTTTTCGTGACCAAAGGAAAGGATGTTTACTTGAAACGAAATTAAGTCAAACCGCGAACAACCAAATTTGAACCTGAACAAGTTTGAAGACTTTCCTGAAAAAAAATCATCAGGACCTATAAAGGATAATCACTTCGTTCTTTTACACAGAGAATTGACAATGCAATATACCAAATATATCGCACAAAAATTGCCTTACTACAATAAAACTACCACCGCCAGTGTAATTAGTACCTTTAGGGGTATATAATCAAAAAGAATCTCAGCTTATACCTGTTCTACTTGTTGCAAAACTGGTGCGATGGGAGGCGACACTCCAACTGAAACATCAGCCACTTCATTACTATTTGAATCACACATACAAAACCTGCAAAAAGGTGGTAAATAGGTAGCCAGCTAAACCTCAATACACAGCAAGGCTAGAGGTACTTTTGATTCACCCAACTAGCGTTAGCGTAATAAAGTACGACAGGTATTAAAATATTCATTATTATGATCATGAAATAAGCTGGAAAGAGAGAAAAATGACATGATGTTCGAAATCCAACTGGATTTTGTACCTTGCAGGAAGAATATGGTCATGAGTGCGAGTGAGTAGCTGTTGAACGTGCCACAAGAGGCATCATTGATGCCATTGTATCTGGCCCAGTACTTAATCGCAAACATCAGCTGCGCCAGCCTCTCGTCAACTGAAACAAACAAAAACATTCAGATGATATGAACATAGCCAACAGATAGTTTGACGAACGGAAGGAAGCAGAAATACAAAAAAAATGAAATATCGAATTTGAAAGAAAAATTATACGCCGTTAAAGATCCTTAAATTTAAGATCAATTTATGATTAATACTTTTTGATAAAATAATAACCTTATGAGAAAACTGATTTTATTTAATTTTTTTTTCTTGAAAAAAGCAAACATAAAAATAACCAAGACTTATATTAGAGTTCACGTCGTTCATGACTCTTAATAATTTGATCATTAAATTATTTAACTAAATTTTAGTGAGGAATTGCACTTGAGCAAACAAAATGTTAAGTCATATTTTCTTCTTGTTCTACCTTTTTTATTCGAACACAAATTCAAAGTGGTTAAAGTACAGCCTAGATAATTACTTTAAAAAGGAATTTGAGCGGACGCAGTAATTCACCCTGAAAACTGCGTAATCAGATTGACGCCTATGTAAAAAGCGTTTAAATAAAACTCGAGAGGTCGCACCCACCTAATGAATATGCTTTTAGCAGGTGTGTGTTCCTAATGCCGACACTGTTGTTGATGTTCAAGTCACATTCAAATCCAGTCACATAATCGTGGAACTTCAGAATAGGAACTGTAGCTCGGATGAGTTGAATTCCGTGGAACTCACCTGTAATTTACGCAGAAGTTAGTCTCAACTCACTCATTTTTTTGGAACTTTAATATCATTCCTCAAATCAGCAGCAGAGTTGATCTATCAGCTTTTTCTTTCTACGCCACTTATTGAAATCATCAAATTTTTGCCCGCTTAACTTATGGCAAAAACTAAGTTACAAAAACCTGCCCATGAGTTTTTTGTCAAACTGCTGGAAAAAAGCTTCTATTGAAGCAAATCGTAAAGATTCAATTATTTATTCCGAATTTCGTTTCGAGCAAACCAGTCGTTTCTGATTAATTAAAAATAAAAAATTTACAACAGTAACCAACAGAACGTATCACTTCTCAACTGGATTGTGGGATACTGTTCACTTGGTCCAAAAAACATCAAATTTATAGAATAGTAATTTTACATAAAGTACGAACTTCCACATATTACCCATAAATTTGTTAAGCCATTTTTGCCGTACAGTTATTTTTTACCTTGACTATGCAACAATTTGTTTTCTCGGGAAAACAAGACGAATATTGTCATAAGGTATTGCATGATTACCTGTTTTCCTTAAGCGGTTGCGCAGTCTCTCGAGTAAATTTAAAGTTTTTCTTTTGTCAACCGAAGTGTTTGGCAAATATAGACACAAGTCCGCGTCTGAGGTTTTGCTCGCGCAGCCATTCAGTGTCGATCCAACCAAGAACATATTGCACGAATCTGTCGAAGAAAATTGAAGCTATATCTTTTATAATTTAGTTACTGCCAGAACGTTGCTAATATTGATGACCTTGAGCTTAATCGGTCATAAAACACTTTTTGGCTAAATTTTTTTCCGATATCGATGACCTTAAGCTTAATTGGTCAAAAAATACTTTTTGGCTAAATTTTTTCACCATGCTTTTTTCTTCATAGAATGCGCAGTTTTAGGTTTATAAACTTCGTTCAAATACGTTGACCTTAAAGTTTTCATCAGCAATTTGGCATCAACTATATTTTGCATCAATTAACGAATAAGCTAGCTTTATATGAACTTCTCTTCTAGGCTACTTACACTGAGTTTCAGCCGCTGCTCGAGCAACTTCGAAGAGCCTGTTGCATAAAGATCGCTTCTGCTTTAGCACATCCAATGTTTGCACGTTTCGGAAGAAAAATTTACTAATTTGGTGATTTAATTTCTCCGTAAACGATGACTTGTCTACCACAAGAGACAATACCGAGCTTTTACCAGAAAACTGAAACAAAATACCAAAAAATATATTTATTTTAAAAAAATCAGTTTTCACGCAAACACGGCCAAAATTTCCGAACTTACATTGTGAGTGGTATTGGCGATTTCATCAGAGTCTGATAAGTCAACAGGATGCAATCTCGATCCACCTTGCCTTTGCTGGTTATTTTTCGTTTCATAACCGACGTCAAATCGATTAGATTGTTCGAGGAAACGATTAGTGCTCTCGTATATGAAAGGTTGGTCTTGGTTCGCCGGCTTCTTTCCAATTCGGTCTTTCAAAGCCCGCAGTTGCTGCTTCTGATGGTTATTCTGAGCACTTTGCGCAGTCCGTTTCTGAATTCCCTTACTGCTGTTGTGCGACAATCTATGAACTCGCTGGGGTAATCGTGAATCAGAAAGATGCGATTGGGGCATCGAACGTGCATGTGGGACTAACATATTAAGCTGCAAAAATTCAAAATGAAAGCCAGCGTTTCTGATTTCATTTTTATTAAAACTACTCTCAAAAATCAACTTACGTTTAATGGCATTGATGAATTAAGATATCGCTGCTGATTGTTGAAACCATCTAAATTGAGACTCTGACTATTTAAAGTCAGATTATTGAAATTTGACTGAGACATTGGTGGTAATTGAAACCGGAAAGAATCAGTGCGGCGTTGTTGAGTATTCATTAGCCTTAAAAATAAATGCTGTTCAATCGCGCACTTCATGCACGAAATGCATAATTGAGCTGTAAAACGTTGAGCTAAAAATCTGTTTTAGTATGGAACCAAATAGAAAGCACAAATGCAAACCTTACCAACAGCAGCTTAACATATAAGAATATGAAATTTAAAGTTAAGAATTATTTGCTATCTATTTTCAGTGAAGATCCCTCTATGGCAACCTATGCAAAAACATCGTGGAAACAATTTAAATTTATTTGAAGAGACAATTATAATCGTTCCATTATTATTCTGTAAATTTATTCAACTAGCAAAATTGCATGACCTACACTTGAATCATGTTATTGCTTATCATTTTGCAATTAAAGTGTTCATTTCAACTGAACTGAACTGAATACTAGGTCCGACTCCTTACGCAATACCACTTTTCTTACGCAGGCTTAGACAAAAAATGAGGAAATGGAACTTATTATAAAAAACTAAACATTCGCATCTGTTAGATAAGTATGATTATCACAACAATTAGCCTATGTGATAAGCTTATTAAATAGTTTGAGATAGATATGAAGTTTCTTACTCTAATTCAACCCGTATTTGATGAAGAATAGCTTTCACCGATCAACTTTGCGCAGTTCTAACCGGAAAACAGAAACCAGTTGAAGATCGAGAGTGCAATCCAACTCCAAAATGGAACCAAGCCTTAAAACGCGATCAACAACTTCATCGGACTCGAACTATTATCCAACTATCGCTGAGCTATCGACTATGGACAGCAATCAGCTGAAAGTTCTATTCTCGAAAACAAAGAAAGGTTCGATGGATTGCTCATTACGTGAAGCTCTTTCCCTGTTGAACAGTTTGAAAAAGCTATCTGAAAACCTTACAACGCCCCACACTTGGGCACCTGTACAACGTTGCTGATTTGATCGAGACGATCGGTCTTATTGGAAATCAGTTTGGGTATACTATTTTAATTAATATTAAGGTTTGATCCACCAAATTTGGAAGTCAAAGCCACAGTCCTTTTTGTTTTATTGTTTTTTTTGTTCCTGTTTCCAATCTATTTTAGGTATTTTGTTTCGCTTCTCTCTTTTACTCGTTTTTTGTCCCCCTAGTGACCCCCTTACTCGGTTAGCTAGGCCTCATTTCGGAAAGCGTACCGGGAAATTTTATCAAGTTTTCTTAAAATTTTGGTACAACCAAAAGGTGAATACGTTCCCGTTGAACCGCACCACCGGTACTCTAGAATGGGCATTGAGTCCGGAACTGTGTCAAGTGGGTTTGATCCCGTAGTCTTAATGTCGTAAAAACGCCCAGGAGCGCCAGAAAAACACTATGTAACAGTCGATTACTTAAGTTACATATGAGTAAGCGGACCGGTTTTTAGGGTCAAGATAGAGATATTTTGATCCCCCCACAAATCGCAATTTTTGAGAAATCATTTTTTTCTGAAACGGAAAAAGCGCTAAATTAGTGAGTTACATCGTAACTTTACTAGTATAATAAGTAGAACCGGTTGAGTTTAGTTCAGAAGTGGTTAGAACTATTTGGGTACCAAAAACCGAATTTTCGTGATTTTTGAATATACGAAACGCAGTAAAATAAGATAATTTTTTTAAATTTTTGAATTAAGACGGTAAAAATTGTTGTTAGGAAAACGTCCACTAGTGAATCGACAGGTTTTAAAACCCGTTTGACGATAACCTTCCGGGTTACAGATGTAACAGTCGCTTACTTCGGTCACATATGAGGCTTAAGAAAAATAGACCCTATAACCATTGGCTCAAGAGTCAGGGACACTATCTCTTGTGTTTTTCTACCTCAAAAACGGTCGGAGCCAATTCGGTTCGCTTGCGACATGAGACTAGAACCCGTTACAGCTTAAAGGCTACTACCAAAATATCCCCCCACTCTAGAAAATAAGAACGTTCCCATACTTAGGTCTCAAAATACCCAAAATACACGAACGCCGTTAAAAACAGGGTCAGAACAATCCGTTAAGTTACTTTTTATTGGACAGTGACACTTTGATCCATTTCAGATGGATCAACCTAAAACTCGCCTTACCTCAACATAACAATCATAAAACACACTCGAGAAATTTAAATTAGGGACTCACATGTTGATGCACTCGAGTACAGGGAGTAATTAAATTGGTAAGCAACTCAAGAATTAGATAATATAACTGGATAAGTTTAATACTGGTCAGTTTTGGTAACAGAAAAAATTTTGGCTCTAGAATTGGAGTTTTGGTATGAACCATTGGGACACTCAAGCTGTCCACCTTTCCGTTGAAAGTTCACTCTAGTTTGTTCCGAATAGTTGTTCTCTCTTCCTATTTCGGGATAAGACAGCTCTACTCGTGTCCTACTTTATATCTGGAAATTGCGAATAGCAATTTCCTGCTGTTTTTCTTGAGTATTTTCCCGCAATTGTAAATTCGGATGTTCTGATTTTTCACTTCTTGTTTTCAGTTGGTACGAGAAAACTGAGCATGACAGGCTCCATTCGAAATTTTTAAAATTAAAACTTCACTCCAAGATTACGTATTTTCGTGTCTCTCAAGGTCAAACTTCCAGACATGACCGACTGGCACATACTCCCCGGACTCAAGATCGATGTCCTCATCGCGTGCTGTCTTTGTCAGTGAATCCCCAGAAGCCCGAGTGTCACTCAAGATACAGTGCCAGTGGTCATTTACAGAAGTTTGCAACAGACTTAAGTTTATCTACCTTCCAAAATTCACGACTATATAAAATTTTCATACTATCGCTAAACAGCAATCAAAATCTGCACACACCTGCACCTTATGAATTCCCGCTTTTTAAGCTGGTGATTTAAAATTTCTTTTGTCCTATTCAATCAGGAAATTGTCATGCTGCATTTTGATTTATATAATAGATCTAGCATATTAATAACAATATCCTATTTGTTAAAATTTCTTTTTCGTGAACCCAGATTTCATCCGAGTTCACCCTCGAGCCCCCTTCCTCTCAAGACTCAAGACTCTAGAATTTTCCCTTTTGAGCCACTGGCTCACCTTGTGTTCTTCGCCCTCGAGGTACCCCATCCGGATACTTTTGACACTGTGATCTGTTCCAATAGTGCTTCTTCGTCATCGGAGCTGATCACAATCTCCTCCCAAGACTTCAGCTGTTCATAGGATCGCATCCACTCCCTTTGCTCTTGCAATCTCTTCGCTTGATTCGGTAAGCTCTTCACCTTCGACTCCCGAATCAAACAGAAGGAATTGTGAAGACTCAGGCTTACATTCTTCGCCAGGTCCTCCTCCAGTATTGACTCCCTCGCTCTAGTGTTGTCTCTGGATACTCTACCCACTCTTTTCCACTCCGTCGTGATCGCATTTTGATGGGTCAGCAGAGGTCTCTCTCTTGAAGGCATCTGGTCCTATCTCGGCCTGGAATTGTCGATATTCCTTTTGATGTTTCCTCATGTGATCCTTGGTCGCTACATATAACCAGGATGTTAACGTCGCGCGAAACCAAGGAAAGAATCTCAAGCGGCTCCACACGTGTCTGACTTCCATTGGTATGGCAAACACCTTGCATGCTGTCTCGAACAACTCAAGTCTCCTGCTATAATCTATCGCGTGAATCGACTCTGCTGTTGGCGTCTTCGATTCTCGATACTTTGCTATGTTTTCTTCCATCCATCGTAGAGCCAGCATTGTGCTCACCACCAAGATGGTCACTTTTTGTTGATGCTCGGGTAATCCCAACGACCTGATTTCTTCTACATCCCAGATCAGGCAGAGATTGGCTTGGTCTGGGTACCACACTATCTGCGACAGACAGTGGCATGGACAATACCCGTGTGTGAGGTCGATGCTCCTAAGGTTGCGTTCTCCCGAGGCTTCCAGGAGAGGCTCAAGTTCCATCATCTTCTCGTGTATCACGTCGACTTCTCTCAAGTTTGGGGCACCTACCATGGGTTTCCCAATCACGTTTTGTCTCTCGAGGTCACTTGTATTTTCGCTCTCCAAGCCTAGAAGTTCTTCACCCCAGATTTCACTCAAGTCATCCCTTTGTTCTTTAGGCACTGTTCCTCGGACCTTCCTCAACAGCTTGTGTGAATGATGTAACATCCGAGCTAGTCTTACACATTTGGGCATTGAGAAGGCTTTGTCTATCAATACCTTCTGGCTGGACACTTCTACCATCGCCATGTGTAATGGATAGTGGGTGCCACATAGGTTGGCCATCACTGACCCCACTAGGGACTTCGCATTCAGAGGCAGTCCATAGGCTTCGCTCATAGGAAATCCCATCTCCGCTTCGAGTCCAACCTTCCCACTATTGATGTGTTTCTGGGTCACTTGCAACACTCCGGGCCATGACTCCACGCTCAACGCAGTCACCAAGTGGTGTTCTGACTCTAGCCTCTCCAGTGACTGGAGACTACACATTCTTGAGAAGAATCCCAGAGCTGTTGCTAGGTTCACAGTGGTACTCGCGTAACACTCAGCCACTATCTGTATCTCACTTTTCTCCCTTTCGGTGATATCTTCAAACCAGGTGACTAGGTCTTCTTTCTGGAAAGACTGTATCCTGACGCACGATCGTCCATCACAGGTGTGCTCGCCATTCCCACACGTCGAGTCAAGACAACTGCCCGGCTCCATCTTCTTTACCGACCCTGTTCCACTCGTCATTTCATTTGACTCCTTCATATGAGGCAGGATCAGTCTATGTACTATACTCAAGGTCGCTAAATCTTCATCCTCTGTCGGCGCCAATCTCACTCGCTCAGTGACTTCCTCGATCAGGCTCGCATGGGGATGTGGACACCAGGAGGGCCTGAGCAATTTCCACACCACTCCCAGATTCGTGGTCAATATGCCGTTCCCGTTACCCATTTTTAGTTCTACTCTTTTACTTGAGCGTGGCACACTTATTACTTCCGGTGTTCTCTCGAGAATCAAACCTAAACTAGATCTCTCTCTTTCCACAGGGTCTATCTCCATTATCCTCTCTGTCCAGAACTTCAGCAGCTCCGCCACCTCATAGTTTCTATGTGCACCTCCAGCTTCTAAGTCTAAGAAAGGGTTGTATGCCATCCCCATCACTCCAGACACATACTGATACTCTCCCTTTTTGTTGGGTTTCAAGTACTCTCCTGAAGAAGCCAAGTTACGGTGGACGTCATGTTTCTCTTCGAACTTCTTGTTGTAGAATCTCCGTATCTCATCTAACTTCCTGTGGCTCTCTAGAGATTGCCTAGAACCATCCTCCTTTTCTATCCCAGTACTCTGGTACACATTCAAGATGACTGTGGAGACTCTCCTTTCCAGCGTCTTGCTTCCAATTGCTCTCTGGTGACATGCTAGGATGGTACTGTCAGTCATCATCGACATTGTCCATCTCAAGAAACAGGTAGCATCTTTCCTCCTTGCCAGACTCAAGCCTGAGTTGTCCCTAGCAACGTGCTGCATCAGCATTCGATACACCTCTAGATTCTTGCCTCCCAACTTCAACTTGTCGTACGAAGTCAGTGTCTCTAACTCTATCCCCAACAGGCTCCACGCGAACAT